GCACGAGCACGAGCACGAGCACGAGCACGAGCAAGAGCACGAGCAAGAGCACGAGCACGGGCACGAGCACGAGCACGAGCACGAGCACGAGCACGAGCACGAGCACGGGCACGGGCACGGGCACGGGCACGGGCACGGGCACGATCACGAGCAAGAGCACGAGAACGAGCACGAGAACGAGCACGAGCACGAGCACGAGCACGGGCAAGAGCACGGGCAAGAGCACGGGCAAGAGCACGGGCAAGAGCACGAGCACGGGCACGGGCACGAGCACGAGCACGAGCACGTGTTGCGAGGATCGTTCATTGCGGGGCATGCACTGCTGCGCAAGCGAGACTCACCATCCCGATGTGACGTGCACGACCATCTTGACCTGCTTGCGGTCGCGGTCGGGGGCGGAGCTGCCGGGGGCGGTGCCGTTGGGGGCGGCGCCCTGCGGCGGCGGCGGCGGGCCCGCCTCCTCCAGCGAGTGGCACACGCCCAGCAGCTCGTTGCGCTTGTGCCGGTCGCCCTGCAGCCCCGCCGCCAGCGCGCCCGTGCTGTACGAGGGCGGCGCGTTGTGGCCGGACAGGTGTCCCGTCAGCGCCATGGAGGGCATGAGCGACGACAGGTTGGGGTCCTCGCGCACCTCGTGGCGGAAGGACGCGTTGGTGTGGCTGAAGTTGTACTGGCGCGCGTGGTCCAGGCTGAACCAGTGCCGGTGCTGCGTCACCCAGGCGGGGAACTTGCAGCGCGTGTGCGACAGGTCGGCTGGGAGGGGGAGGAAGGCAGACATCATTAGAGCGGAAACCAACACATGTTCTACTGTTCAACATTTGAACGTGCCACAGTGCAAAAAGTGTGACCTCTCAGGCCGATCGCCGAGGCCGAGGCGGCCTACGATCAGGCCGCTGCCGGGCGACAGGTGAGGAGGGCTGTGTGTGGGGGTAGCCCCTCTCGGCCTCGGCCATCAGCCTGAGAGAATCCATACTTTTTGCACTCTGGCTCGTGCGCAAGTTTAATACTGTTTAATAGCACCTATTTAACCGCCCTATATTGAACACTTTCCGATCAGAGTGCGAATAAGAGAGTGTTCATCAGACGAGTTCAACACTTGCAAAGTGCCCAAACTGCCAAGGTAAACACTTGCACGGGGCGAATAAGCCGACAGGTAAATGTATGCTTTACTCCCACTCGAGGCCGCACTCACTCACCTCGCGTCAGCTTCATGACCTTGGAGCCCTCGGAGGGGGAGGGGATGCCGACGCAGGTGGCGTCCGGTGAGATGGCGACCTGGGTGGTGGTGTTGGACACGTCCTCGTAGACGAAGCAGCGGTAGCGGTCCTCGTCCGACTGGTGCGCGCCCAGCTCGGGCCGGCTCAGCTTGCCCACCATGTAGTGGTAGGGCCCGTCGCGCCAGGTGGCCAGGCACTCGAGCTCCTCCACCAGGTCCTGCGTGCCCAGCACGTCGGCGCAGGCCGCGTTGCGGATCAGCAGCCGCGAGCTGTCCATGCACGCGTCCACGCGCGACACGGGCGACACGCACTCGCCCGTGCCCTTGTTGTACGAGAAGGTGTAGGGCGGGCGCGCGAACGGGCAGCGCACGGGGCCCGCCTTGGGCTCCTTGCGGAACATGGAGTGCAGCGGGTTGTCCGAGTGCACGTCGCTGCACAGCTCCTCGACGTTGGGCTCGCCGTGCGTGGGGCACGGCCACGCTGGAACACAACAATACACAATACACAACTGTTTCCGTTTATGTTTATACCAGGTGGCTGATTCACGCCGCGCACTTTCATGGTGATACTGTACCGCATGCACGAGTGCGGGCGGGTTGCCTACTCGCACGGGGTCATAAGGAGCCGTGGCCAGCGTGCATAGGCAAACCCGCCCGCACGAGTGCATGCGGTACAGTATCACTATGAAAGTGCGCGGCGTGAATCAGCCACCTGGTATAGGAATGTCTATCTGTGCACGAAAATCTTTTTCAGGGTTGCTACAAAAATAGGAAAGTGAAACTCCCAGACATTACCCTGACCCTGATTTTACCCTGACATTTACCCGAGTTTTCCTCACAACAAGATTAGCAGTCAGAACGCAATAAACAAGGAGGGGCTTTTGCGAACACCTCGCTGAGTGCCCCAAATAACGCTGCCGGGCGTTTTTCCCTATGACATAGCGTTCAATTACTTGACATTTACCCGACTTCCCTGACACATTTTGTTTTCCCTGACATTTCCCTGACTTCCCTGACTTGTAGCAACCCTGTTTCTATCGCGTTTTGCAGAATCACAGTGCCTTAGTAAGTTCCTCAGTCAGAGGAGTATTCTTGGCGGGTGCGCTGCACAGCCGGCCGCCAGACACACTGCATCGACAAGCGCCAAACACCGACAGAGGAACAATATCGATCTTTCGATCTCTCCCCCCCC